GGTTTACAAAGGAAGTTGTACAAAATCCTTAAGTGCCAAAAATTGTAATTTTCATAATGGCAATATCACTTTCTGGTAAAATTGTTGATGAGCCTAAACAAGCTTTAAATCTTTGTCTGATTTTAGGTTTTTGAAGTCAACTAACCGGAACTTCTAGGCTTAGTATTATGGATGGCAACGGTCATAGAAGAGGTGAGTATGGAAAGTTGGAAAAAAATCATATTCCTGTTGATACCCAGTCCAAGCTATTTAATACTGAAGTCGAAAACAATTTTCACTAAGCTTTTCTGAGTACGAGGCAATAAGCAATATCAAGTAGGATTTTAATGCGTATTATTTAAATAAATAAAATCACAGTGAGGCTAAATGGCTTGGCTTTTGTAGCCATATTGAGACTTTAATTGACGTTAAGTCTCTAGAACCTCAGAAATATAGTTTTTTTATCAGTAAAACTGCGCCCTCGTCATAAAATTGTGCTTCTTAAAATGTTTATGACATCATGTTAATTTTTGATCACAGTTCTTACTTTAAAGTTACTTAATTGTAATATGGATGATTAAATACCTGGTACAACGCAGAAACCCTGATGACCACGAAATGGATAATTACTTTCCCAAGGACATGTACTACATACAGACTAACTTATAACTGATCCTTATCTTTTATGCAGTTTCTTTTGGCTTATACCTTTTCTGAAATATCTATAAACCTGGTTGTTTCAACAGGAATTTCAGGGCATTCATTTGCTATCCATTCTGAAAGGATAACCTGGTTAGTGGAGTGTTAGTATCAAGACAAAACGGCGAAACTTTTTTTATTTCTAGCCGGGAAGACTAATGAATTTATTTTAAAACTATCTCCCTGAAATGAATTGTTAATACGACAGGTTTGTGTGAATTAGGAAAGATAATATCCCACTTATATACTTATTTAATGTGTTAAATTTCACAACTAGTGGACCATTTGAAGTAGCAATTAAGTAGATGGTAAACCTAATTAAATGTAGAAGACTGACGGCGAAAAAACAAACTTAGTGAATAGGTTTGTTTGATATCGATTTTGTAGCTTATATAGTTAATAAGCACGCAAGGCGAACAATACTGCTCTGAAATAAATCACAAGTGATAAGTTGAGAAAACAGAATGAATTTTTCAATTTAATAAAAAAACTGTTAGGGTAATAATTTGTTGATAAAATAAACGAGGTCAGAGTAAGTGAAGCAGAAAGTGTTACGTGTTATTTTATATATCGTTTTGGGTTTGAACTGTGTGACTTAGGTTTCTGCTCTCCGAAAAATCTGAACATTGTCGAGATTTTTACAGAAATAATTTGAGATTTTCAATTCACGTGATTTTGAGAATTGTACTGGTTTCAAGTTGGTGTTCATCACGGATAGAAATTAGTTGGAGAGCCAATGAAAAACTTGCAGTACTGTACATCTGTTCCTTCCTGGCATAAGACTCCTCAGCCACGCACTATCATATGCCTTTATATAAATGGAAATACTTACAGTATCTCCTTCAATAACACGCTCCTTGAGACACATTAAATATAAACAGAATTCTTTCTGCTGAAGCTATCTTGGTCCTTCGAAACGAAAGTGAACAAATTACCTCAATAATGCAGCCAAGTGAAATATACACTAGCCGCAGTTATTTATTCCGTAAAATGACTGGAATACAGATAGATTATATGTCAATATTAAGCTCACAGTGCATGGAATCGTAAATTTTGGCTGAGAATTAGTTACCAGTACAGAGAAAATGCATAATAAGACAATATCTACATATCATTATTGTTTATATAACCTGAATGGCCCAAATAAGTCAATGTCAAACCGCATACAGATGTTAAACTAAAAATGCATTTTACAATTAAGCTAAAATTATAAAGTGATGCCCTACTTAAGGGAGTAACTGCTATCAACATTTTATCTTTGTCCTATATACAAAAGCCCAAATTTTGTCTTCAAATAAAGAATACTCAGAAGACAAGTTGATTTAGACTTTTATGCAAAGTACACATAGCTACCTCTTTTTGAATTGTTTTATCTCACTGAAACAAGATAAACTTATCAAGCACTGGTTAAAAACATTCTAAAAAAACACTTGCATAGATGTAAACTGTGAGTTTGGTGGCAAAATACAGAGTCAACACATGTTTTTAAACTGCATTCCATCCCTTTTAGAAAATGGATAAACCAGAATGATTAGAAGAAGCATACTTAAAATTTGTTGTGGTGTACAACGTTCATTTTATGAAAATCGCAGTTATCTTATAGTCAACTTCAGGAGTTGATGTAGAATAAAAAAAACACTAATGTAAGAGTAAAACTTTGGTATTATAGTAGAGCATATACTCTACATTAGGTTGTTAATCTGATAAAGCACACAGTGATACATTAGTACTGTTGAAGTGAGTTTAGTTTTATGTCCAACTGGTGATCTTAGTGTTTCAGATTGGGGCATGCTTTAAAGTGGATAATTACAAAGATGAAGAACTGATGCCACTTCGTTATCTGTGATAACTTCATACGCCCTGTGCTATACTGTAGGGTACAACAGAGATTGGTAACATTTAAATCCCTAACTGTACCATTGAAGTATACCACTTAAAGTCTCTTAAAAAGCACAAAAACGTATCAGCGAAGTAGCCTCATCATATTTCGGATTCCTAAAAACCACAAACATAAAATGTACACTTTCTGGATAATTAATCACCTTCAAATTCTTCTGTAAGCCTTTTCCAAATAATCTGTTTGTTAGCTGTTAAAACCTACATTCCATTCCTTATCCTTTAGAATTTTTCTCTTTCGCTGTACCTAGGGATTTGATATCCATCTATACACTATCTTGACATAACTGCAAGGCTGTTTCATAAGAGTGCATCATTTAAATGCTAGAAAGGTGGACAAAAATATTTATATATCTAAAAAATGTCTGTAAATGTTTGTGCGTTTGAAAAAGAGTCATTAATGCACCTGAATGAAAAAACACAAAGAAAGTGACTAAAACACTTGAAATAAAACAGTTGTACAAAATTAGTTACTTTTTGGAAGAAAAACATTTCAGAATTTATTACATTCACTCTCAATTGATGAATATTTCGACTTCAACCAATATACTGTCTAAAAAATCCTACAGCTTGTTTTGATTTCATGTTATCATTGTTGATTCAATTCTGTGCACAGTGGTATAGTACTACTATTCAGTCACTGTCTAATATACACATCAAAGTAGCTATGCCATTTCTGAAAAATGCATAGCTGAATTCTCCGTATTTCCAAAACAATAACCATATTGCTCATACTGTCTGTGTCTGCAGAAGATTTGAGGAATTTATCTACTTTCTTCTCCATCTGAATACCTTACATAAAGTTGCTTAACAAACCTCTGTTGATCATATCAACTTTGAATGCGCAAAATAAGAAAGACGTAGCACTTCTTTCAGTAACGAGGAAACTTGTGCCCCCATTAAAACTGAGAATTAATACTTCACAGAACTATTAGGCCAAGTGTCGAGAATAGTTTAACTGCCTTGCCATAATTCTGAGTTCGATATGGGCCTGAAGCTTTCCTCGTTGTATATCATATCAACAAATAAACCTAATATAACATTGCATTCTACTGATATTTTTTAGTTGTTTTAATCTCCAGAGATGCATAAATGCGTTTCACTTCAGGATTACGTTTCTTATAGGAATAGGAAAACTGATAATGAGTTACAGTACACTTCGCTGTTCATTCACACTTGATGGAATTTGTAGTATGCATGCATCTTACAAAGAAGCCTAACAGAATACCTTCTGTTAATAACTCTTATTTTCTTAAGAATTTATATAACTAACTTCAGAGTCAGTTATCGCTTCCTAATAAAATGAAAGAACGAGTGACAAAAATGTTAAAAACAACATTTTACCTCAGATTGTCAGTACCACCACTAAATGTAAGTCACCAGAAGCAGTCTGTTACTTTAATAAATCTCAGACAGGAAGAGGTCTATATATACTGCTTATCGACAACTATCGAAATGCTAAAGCAACCATGTACATGTTGTTCTTATCCTGAACTCAACCCCTAAGAATACCGATTCATGGAACCTAAACACTTTGGTTTCTTCCTTAAAACTTTGTAACTGAACTTCTTAACCTAGAAATAACTTCAAAATAAATAAAAAATGAATAGCACGAATCCCTAGAAACTTCTCACGTTGATTTCCTTATTTGACCAGACAAACCAGAATTATCTAGAAATCCGACAATCGTTTCACTTATCTGAGATCAAGAACATGAGTAAAGTAACTAAAGAAATGCAGCTCACAGATGACTTGTATCGTTTGTTGCTACTGAAACTAGTAGTTGACTTGCGCGAAAAGAATCCCATTCAATGAATTATTAGTTTGAAAGCTGCATGATTCATACTGATTCTGCTTACAGTTGAATGGTTTCGTAAATACAAATGAAATTATGCTGCCTCTGATCTTCAGTAAAGTTAGGACGTAGGATATTTTGTCAGTTCACTTGTCATCGATTGCTATGTATCATTTTGACTGACTGGAAGGTGCGACTGCATTTCAGGACTGAAGGACAACCCAGCTGTGAAAGATGTGAAGTTAAATAGTTCAGCTGGCTCAAAACCTGAAATTTCGTGATGTATTTTTCTTAATTTTGAGCTTGAGTTTTCTTAAATGTTGCCTTTCTGTTTTCTGTTGGAATTCTCAATCAGTTTAAGCAAACAAATTGTATCCAGCATTAAATTAAGTAAAACTCGAGATGTGGATCTAGTAAAATAATTAAACTGACAAACTTAACCGGCATATGAACAATTTCAACTACAACAGTGATAATTGCTGAGGCGTAAAAAGTAAGACTGTTTCTCCACCTGAGTCAAGCCTTAAATATTATCTAAGTATTCATATGAAGATTTAACATTAAAGTGATAACTGCTAATTTTATGAGAATTAAACGACCTCAAAATACCTTTTAAATGGAGGATACTTACCAGAAGTATTGTATAGGAAGCTATTTAACCAGCCAAAAGAGCTTCTCTACTGTCTTATTTTCAATTCAAAGAAGTCTTCAGGTTAGATGCTGAAGTATTCTTATTGTACTAAGTGTAACAGATATAGGTCTGTTTTAGTGTGCTTCCCAAATGATACAATGCAATACCATAAGTTACTTTCACGCCATACTATAGTTTTTTCCCAGTATACAAATACACTTGCATGGAAACATATAACGCTGCTGTATAATTTTATTGAGATTTCTATTTCAGACCTGCCCTATGGTCATAACACAACTTATGACCATCCATTCAATTGTGATTGGTTGGCTAAGATATGTGCCGTTTTTAGGCACACAAGTATGCACATACTGTATCGAACAAGCTTACGTTTGTGCTAAAGCGCCCAGTCATGCATCAGGTCAGTAGGCCATTTTTCCCATTTTAGACATACAAAATTCCCAGTAGATCAATAAGTCTAATCGATTATGTCTGTAAAGGTGCTTATTAATAGTGACTGACTATTTCGGGAGTAATGTCAACGTAGACTATAATAAAAGCGGTGGAATTCAATTTTAACAAACGGAATGAAACTGAATTTTTTTTCAATTTTGATGTTTTAAGGGCAGCTGTCTAAAATTGCAATTTTTTCAAATTAAAATGAATGAGATCTAGTCTTCACAAAAAGTACTACTTCCTACTTAAAACACCACTATGGATAGATAGATAGATATAATGAACAGCGTGGGTACCTGAATATAAAAGGGATAAGAACGAATGACACGAAAACGTCTCCTTTCTTTTAGCGTCTTAAAGCTCACGTAACCTGACAACCTCTAAATAATGCAATATTTCAATACACGCGTTGACATTAAAACTTGAACAAAACCATAAGATTAATATATAGGTGTATGCAGTATGTGCATAAACCAACTTAATCTCAGACTGGTCCTTTGTCAGGTTTACTGTCACGTGAGGATGGCGTCAGTTGCTATCATATCCCATTGCCTAAACGCATAAGAAAATGACCGGTGTAAGTGGAAAGATCATGGTGATGAATAAATGAATCCATATTGGTAAATAGCAACTTGATTCCTGAAAGGTTGGAAGGTTAAAAAAATTATAGTAGTACAATAGGATATAGTGTTGAAAAAGCTGGTAGTAAGAAACCACCAGCACAGATCTGTATACTTCGCTGGCCAGACAGGCATTTCGCTCATTTGAGACTGAGGTCATCAGCAGTGCACCCGGACAAATTTGGTTTACAGATTCAACTTGTTCAAATCAACTGAATCTTGCCAGCCGAACTGCATGAACCAGTATACCCTAAATAAGATGATCACTTCACGAATGATTTATAAATTACACGGTTGAGTGCTTCTTCAATTTCCTAACTGTGGTGTCTGTTAAGAAAACACAGGCAGGACCAAAGGGTTTGACCTCCGTCAAAATTTGTCATGGATTGTCGAAATATACCACTAAAAACATAGGTAGTCAGTAACAACTTACTCTTCATTGATGAGACAAAAGTTGAATGGTACTTACTCTTCTTGACAACTTTACTAACATCACACATTTTCCACAACCTAGTGATTTTTCAACTGGAAAATGATATCGCTCTCAGTATAATGTATATATTTATACATATCTTAGTGGACAGATATTTAAATATTTTAAAAAAATTGTGGGCTAATGTTTTCAGAAAGTTCTCATAAACATGTGTTGCTGCTTGTATACTCGTCGCCCAAGAAGTGGTCATCGTGACTTGGCGGCTCAGTGGATACCGCTCTGGCATTTGGAGCGACTGGTCGTAGGTATAAGTCTTAGACAGAACAACAACACACGGAGGTGGGTACATCCAGGTGATGAGTCCCAAGCAGGAGGAGACACCCGTACTGGATTCCACTGCTTGCCACTTTCCATCATTATGTTATCATGAACATCTTTATTAAGGCGAATCGAAACACATTCAAGAAAACCAAATGAAATTAAACGGTTCAAATCCAAGTGTTTTGTGATCCTTTGAAAGTCTACAGCCAAAGATTCTTCAAGGGTTTAAGCTGATTCAACTAGGCTTCGTTTTTTCATACTGCTATACCTCAAAACCAAAAGGCTAACACCAATAGGTTGCACGTACAGATCTAAATGAAGTTTATTTAAACATCTATAGTTGAAACCGCGTTTATCTCAAAAATTCTGATTATTCATCCTCAAATTACATCGTAAGCATGTATGAAATACGAAAATCCCTAGTGAACTGGAAGCCATCCCAACTATGCTGCCATGTGAAAAGTCTTTCAAAAACATTATTTTCAAGTTGTATTTGTTTTAATTAAATATTCTCGGTATGCATTGCAAATAACGGTTGCATAAAATATTGATTACAAGACATTCCAGTCAGCCTAATCTAGTCTGACATACTGATAATTCAATGCATGAGATACTACTACAGCAGCTTCAGGCTAATCTGGAAGCTTTTAGTTGTGATACACAGAGACATACCAGGATACAACCTACGTGAAATATTGAACTAATAACAACTAAGCCACCTCTTGCGTTTTCAGTAACGATTAAAGATCATAGATAGCAGAATTTGGTATGACCATTCGAACAGGTGGTAGAATATTAAGATACGATGCTGTACTAACACACATATTAAGTAGCTTAATGAACTCTACTGTCTTTCGCCTTGAGACTTGGCAAATTTTATCAGTGGGAAGTAATCATAGTTTTTATCAAGCTAATCTACTCATCGGCGTTTAAATCTGAATGACTCATTGCTGCGGTTATAAGGACTTTTCTTACCACTAAGTTAATATGTAAATGTATTGCTAAATGAAATCCTAAGCAGTTACCGAATCCTTCGTGACAAAATCCCCCTATTAGACCAGTAATGTCTAACTGACTGACTTATCTCTCTTGTTTTCTTATACGAAACAGTAAACAGTCCCAATTTGTCATCTGTATATCAAGCATTCACAGGATTCAAAGGTAACGTAAACGCTTTGATATTATACACAATGATGCGATTTTATTTACCAGATGACACTGGTTATCATTTCTCCTCCGTAATCGGTGAGAATAAAGCTGTCTCACTTCTGGTTAGAGATTATTCATCAAGTCAGTCAATAGATCAAACCCTGCCACTTGTCTAAATTTCCTTTCTTACTGCGACAAAGGAATCTACCGTGTGGCTCGCCGGTAGAATATCCTGCTTTTCACACTTCTTAGTTGAAACAGGTTCAAACAAAGCAAGTAGAACATTATTAACAGAATTAGCATGCATGTAGATTATAGATTCTTCTCAGCGGTTTTGAAAGCTAAAGAATGATGATTATGATCAGAAAACAAGTTCTCCAACGTACTTTCTCAAATCAATAAGAATCTTTTAAGTGAGGTGGAGGATAGCAAAGACACAAACCACAGAAACTGGTAAACATTGAAAAAGGTGTTAAGACTACAAAGAGATTAACTACTTATACAATGATGGCATGAAAATTTAAGAGGTGGATTTTTCACAATGTTATTCCGAAATTGGTAAAAATGATATGTATAAGCAGACGTAATGAAAGGTCAACAGTTTTTCACCATATTGGGTAATAAAGTGAATACAACCGAGAAAGTTAGAGCAGGTTTTGAAATGCGCTGAAAGATAAGATTAAATCTACAACAGAGGGTCATGACGTCGTGATATCTGATAGCTATCAATTCAGGAGATTAGGGTAGGTTAGCATGGTGAAGCAAGATAGATAACAGTATCCTTTTGAACACTGAGATCACGTTTCAATCTCTCAATCCCATCTGCATCATTAAAGTGTAAAAGTTGGGTTTCAGTTTTTTGTTGGTCACTCTGAATGATTTAGATATCGTGACAATACGTCCAGTATCAAGCAAATACCGAGCGATTGCGTTTTTCAAAACCTGTGAGACTTAAATTCCTTGAGATATGTTCAAAAATGCGAACACGATACTTTGTTTACTCACGTCGAATGAGGGCCTAATCCCTAATTGGGTCTCCTTGCTCAGTGAGTAGAGCGTCGAGTAGGTAATCTGGAAGTTCTTTGTTCGAATCCTCTGGCGTCTCAGTTTTACCTTCCTTCTCGAATCATAATCAGTATTTTATCGATAAACCTGGTTAAGGTAGGTGACTATTTCTTCTGATATTGAAGTTGATTGGTGTGCAGCCGATGAGAATGTTTGACAAACAGTGAATTTTTATTAATCTGTTGCTAATACTACTTATCAAACTATTCAAATCCAACCTTTCTTGCAGCAAATTATGGTGCTTTGACTGACTCATATATTTCGCTAAAAATATGCAATTATTTACTGGAAATAGCATTTGTAGATCCATACATATGCTAAATATATTCTTTTGAAAAGAATGTATAGTGTTTTGGTGCGCTAGCTCATTCACCCTAGTCCCAATACTCTCTTTGCAATTTTCATTCACAAATATTAGTGTACCTAAAAGGTAGTAACGTTTTCAAGATTTTCGAACCTTAATACCTGAATCTATAAACCATTACGTTTCAAAATAAATGTTTCATTATATACTAATGATAAAGCTTTTAGCCCACCTTTATACTACCAGCAACATTGAAACAAAACATCGATAGCAGTAAGTGAACTACCAACTAAATATCCTGAACATTATGGACACTATTTCAAAAACTTTTAAGGCTAAGTAATAAAACTTATGTGCGATAAATTATAGAAGCCATTCATTCTTAATCCGGACTAAGTTTGTGAGTGCTGAGCATTCCGTAGTTGTGCTAATATATTTTTATAATCATCAGTCAGTCAGTCTAAACCATTTTGAAAATCACAGGGGTTTAAACCTTTGAATAATATTTGTTGTACACAGGATATTGTAAAACGTTAAGTATGCTAAAAATTAATAAAAACCAGTAGAAGCCGGAAACTTTCTGATCTAAGAATATAACTTTATTACATCGTGAAACACAAACCCCCGGTTTTAGTGGTTTAGTGGTAAATATCCCACAGTCAAACCACTGAAGTATAATTAACTGGGACAGAACAGTTACATATTCTTCCCTAACTTCCATTGATCTCTCACGCAACGCCAGCATTAAAAGTATCCTCAGGTGATTTCAGTGACGAAAAGAAAGTACCAAGGTGAGATAACTGGAACTGAATCCAAAACAAATAGAAACACTTCTTTATTTAAGCTATAGACGACATTTTCCTTTGTCGCTGTCTTTAAACATACTCCAAACTTCAAATGTATTCTTCAATGTTCTCTAAAGGGTAATTGTTCTGCATGATAATCAAATTTGAAGAGATTTGTTGTTGCTATAAAACCTATTCTCATTTGTTGGAACCAGAATCAATAAATTGGTTTTTGATCTCTGTGGTTGTATATACAAATCTAATAAACGTTTTAAGCGTGTCACTTGTAATTCATCCGTCGACTGACAGAAAACACGATCACTCAAAGTTCATAGTCATAATCCAGCCCAACTAAAATTCGGTTTTATAATCAGTCCGTAAATGACAACTCATTTAACCTCTTCACCCTACAGGAAACACCAAAATAACTAGTTAGCAAAACAATACAGGAATTTTAGTTTGAAACTCGTTTGTAGCGCCGGTTTGCTTAATTTCTTCATCGTAAGTGTCTAGACACTTTGTTGCATTTATATTTTAAACCTTCAACATTGGGTTTTTAACTGCTGAAGTTTTGACAGTTTTGAACATTAATGTTTCTAATTAAGTCAGGTTTAATCTACGAAATAATCGTTTTGCTTATAAGATGTATCATGTGAGATGAGGTGAAAATGTTCTTTGTTCAGTTGTCATACAAAATGTGATATTCAAAATCAGAAAAGGAAGTTTAAATTGTGCCAGTAAAGAAACGATTTTGTCTAAGTGGCAATACTCAGAAACAATTTCAAGAAAGCAAAAATAACCATTAAAGTAGGAGAATATGAACCCATTTTATTGTTTCACTGATCCTCTTCAGTTGTACAAAACCTAGAATATTTAAGATAACGAATTACATTAGAATTTTGACATACTTCAGTTCATTGAACAGAAATCAGTAAGTTAAAGATATCAAAACATAATGATGGAACAGTGAATTGAAGCTAAAATGTCATATAAGGCTTCCATAGATAAAAATCTATTTCGGGAAATTCTTTCCACAGAAACTAGACAGGTTCAGAAGAAAAAAACATAGTGGAACTGAGAAATATACATTGCTTTGGTCGATAAGTCGGTAAGTCAGTAATTATCTGAAGACATAATGTGGTAAAATGCAATTTAAAAAAACTGAGTAGAATAGAATTGAGGTTTAACACGAAACGTAGTAAACGGATGATCAGATAAGTGGACTTCGAAAAACTATGTTACCGAGTAAACCGATTGCTGACAACAAATTCACTTGTAGCATAAACATCTGGTTTCAGCCATTTCATTTATATGGTCCAAACAAAACTAACAAGATGTGAGTTGTTTCATCTTGAGTGACTCCAGAACATGTTATTACTACTCATGTCTATCAAATGCTTAATTGCTGCACTAATGAGATTACCTGGTCCCCTTTGATCTCAC